GCACCTCGGCGCTGTGGGACCAACCCGGCAGCCCCCCAGCTGCTCTACCCCAGGCGTCAGCGAGAAAAGCCTGGTCTGCTGGGGGGAGGGGGCGGAAGGCGCAGCTAGTGCGCCCCCCTCCCCACAGACCAGGCTTTTGTTGTGGACCCTGGGGCAGAGCAGCTGGGGCGCTGCCGGTTGGCCTCTTAAGGGGGGGGCCCCCCAGCAGACCAGGGAGACGCAGAGCAGCTTTTCTCGACGCGGAGGACGCGGGCGGCGGGACTGCCGCGGCGCGTCTCGGTGGTCTGCTAAGGGGGGGGGCGTGCAGCTATTGCGGGGTTCCCTCACCCCGTTCGTAAGTAGGGATCCAACATAAGTCGGATCCACGTAACCCGGGGACTGCCTGTATAGGCACATGGATTGTGCCCACAGTAGCTAGGAAGATTGTGTACAGCTAAATAATTAAGTAAATATATTCTTATGTATAGGAACCTAGAAGCCTACGTTCCCATCAACATTAAGACAAAATAAATCAGAAATAAGATGACACAGGAAATTGAACAAGTACTTATGAAAAAGTTTGGCCAACCAGGCAGGTGCGCCAATGCTTTCTGAATATAGTCATGTTCAGGTTAGGTGAGTTTCTGGCAGTCATGAGTTCAACAAATTAGATCCTGCCACCAATAATGCCCTGACTCCAAAACCCCAATATTTCCATTCATGGGTTATTAATTTTCATTCAGAAGAATCCCTCTTTTAAGGAACAATGTTCCCTACAATGAGATTTCCCATGCCATTCTTTTCTTTGTGAAGAAACATACACATGATCAGACTGTGGCCAATAGCCTCCAGCAGCTGCTAGCTGTGAAATGTTTCCCAGGGGCTTTATTTACAGGGACAGAATCGGAACCTTGACACTGTAGATTCCCCTAGAATTTGAGCCCTGGCAGTTTGGTAATGGTCAGAGGGGAGATGCTTCCATTTCAAGCTATACATTTTCTTCCAAACTCACCTTTCTTTTTAAAGCAAACTGGTTTCTTCCTTACAGGAATTACAATTAGAAGAGGGGATAAAATAAGTGTAAAGTAAGGCATTTTCAAGCAGAGAGTTTTGTTGTTCCATTCTTAAGTGAGATTTTTCTGGAAAGGTCTTTCTACCCCTTTGTTTATAGGTTTTTCTGTGCTGCATTTAAGTGCTTTCCATTGTATTAAACAAGTATGCTTTTATGGACACAGTTGTGTGGGGCCTTTTTTATAGAATGGCTAAATCAATTTAACATTCCACATATAAGAAAGCAACATCTCAAGTAGCCTTAAAAATGCTAGGCCAGCATTTGCTTTCTAAGCCAAACACCCGCCTGGGGGCACATGTCAACTCCTCTTTATTCCACCTCATACATTTTGGATTGTGGGGCATGCATTGTTAATTCCTCTGGTTAATTTTCATTCTTTCTATTTTTTCTTTTACAAAGGGAAGACCATTTAATTGTGGAAAGCTGAGATTAAATCACCGATACGTTGGTTTTCCTTTTTTCATTTCACTTAAAGACAAACTGTGATATAAATTACACATCAGAAAAGTCAACTAACACCCTGGTTTGTTTGTTTCTTTTAAAAGGCTCATTTAGTTTAGTCACTGTGCCGCCTCATTAGTGGGAAGACATCTTCATTTTAAATCCAAATTAATCTTCTTCCATTCTGATCTTGGTCATCCCATTTACACTGATTTCTTTGTAAATGGATTGTCATCAGAAATGTTGAAGCTTGAAGTTAAGGATGCAATTGTTGTTCATGCTAAATAAATTATAAACTATCCTCACATTTTGAAGCACTTTAGATGGTGCTTAATATCCCTCATCTTACGTATCTGCCTCTCACCCAGGACACATCATTTGGTCTGTGACTAGTGACAACTCATTCGAAGTGTGAAAAGTGCTCTTATGTTCAAGCTGGTTTTCTAAACACCCAAGCTCTGCAGGTAAAAGCAGAAGGGGCAAAACAAAATGGCAATGGTGGAGAGTAGTGGCGACTGAAGTGGGGACAGCAGGGGAAAATGGCTGGGGGAAGTGTGTTGTTTCATGCTTTCTCTGTTAAGAACTGATAAGTGAAATACAGAGGCATATGAACAATCCAAAGATTTTGTTTAGATCCCATTTGTTGGGTGTGTCATTGAGCAAATGTTTAAATAAATATACAGGAAGTCCCCGGGTTACGTACAAGTTAGGGACTGTAGGTTTGTTCTTAAGTTGAATTTGTATGCAAGTTGGAACTGGTACATATTGTAGGGGAAACTCTAGCCAAACATTTCTACAGAGCTCAGTTTTATTCTCCCACACCTCACTTCCCTCAGTCCTTTATTCTCAAGCTGAGGTGTCTGCTGAGAAAAGCCGCTCTGCGTCTCCCTGGTCTGCTGGGGAGGGGCGCTAGCTTTGTGTTTCCCTGGTCTGCTGGGTGGAAGCAGGTAGTGCGGGGTTCCCTCACCCCGTTTGTAAGTAGGGATCCGATGTAAGTCGGATCCATGTAACCCGGGGACTGCCTGTACTCAGAGGGGGAAATAGCTAATCCTGCTTTTCACTATATTTAATTGCTGTGTATTGGCCTTGTTATTGCAACGCATAACAGAAAGAGCTAGACAAAAAAATCTGTCAATTGTAGAACATTCTAAATGATCACCAATATACAGACTAGACTTTCCCTTTACCCTAGAAGGAATCCAGAATATTGGCAAGCTGGTTTAGCACAGCTGTTACATACTGAGGTATCGGATGGAGTTGCCATTGCTGACAAGGAAACAGCTCAGTGAGTAAATTCTAATGTCACTCTGAATTAGTCTTTTTCCCTGGTTGGCTTTTGAATTATCTGTATGCATCTGAAAAAAATCAACAGCTAATGGACCTGGACTTGATTTAGCAGTAAGGGCATGGCTAGACTTGCTTTCACTATCGAAGAAGATATGCAAATCCGGTGCAAACTTGCATATCATCTTCGATTGCTTTTTTGAAAGAGGTTCTTTCGTAAAAGAAAGTAATCTAGACGTGATTCTTTCAAGAAAAAAACCCTTTTTCGAAAGAAATGTTCTTCCTAAAAAAAAAAAGTGAGGTTTACACAGTTCTTTCGAGGAAAAAACAACAACCCTTTTTTTGAAAGAACCGTGTCTAGATTACTTTTTTGAAAAAACCTCTTTCGAAAAAGCAATCGGAAGAAGATATGGAAATTCACGCCAAATTTGCATATCTTCTTTCGAAAGTGAAAGCAAGTCCAGATGTACCCTAATTGGTGTTTGTTTCACTAGGGACTGGTTAGCACATTAACTTCTTTAGGTTAGATCAGGGGTCTCCAACCTTTTAAAGCGTGAGATCACTTTTTGAATTTAAGTGCAATCTAAGATCTACCTCAAACCCAAATATCCTTGCCTCGCCTCTCTCTGAGGCCCTGCCCCTGCTCCATTCTCCCTTCCCTCCCTCCCTCCCTCCCTCCCTCATCCTCCCTTACTTTCACCAGGCTGGGGCAGAGAGTTGGGGTGCAGGTTCTGGTCTTGGGTTAAGGGATTTAGAATGCGAAGAGCTCTGAGACGAGCCTGGGGCAGGTAGCTGGGTTGCAGGAGGGGGTTCTAGGTGCTGGCTTTGGGAGGGTGTTTGGATGCAGAGGGTCTTAGGGCTAAGGCAGGGACTTGAGGTATAGGAGGGGGTTCATGACTTAGGTAGGGATTCAGGATGTGGGCTCCAGCTGGGCACTGCTTACCTCAGGTGGCTCCTGGATGGTGGTGCAGTGGGGCTAAGGCAGACTCTCCCCTGCCCTGGCCCTGCACCACTCCCCAAAACAGGCAGCAAACTTGCTCTATCCCTAATCCTGTTGTGCCCCCCTCTCTGCTCTGTGGAGATAGGATAGAGGGTGGGAAGAGGGCACCTTAACATCAGTGCCCTCCACTTCTTCCCCTGCCCAGCAAACAGGAAGCTCCAGGGGGAACAGCTCCAAGGCAAAGGGCTAGAGATGCGCAGCAGTGGGGGGAGGGGCAGCTGAAATGCTGCACTTGATAGCCATGGGGCGAAACGAGTCAGATCCAGATCTACTGGCTGGTGACCACCGAGTTAGACATTTAAACTCAATTAGCATATTTAATGCTTTCCAGTAGCCTCCTGCACACATTACACTATAGAAGGGAAACTATCACTAAAAAACAAATTTGTTCAGAGGTTTTGTCCTGATCATACATTATACACTTTCCTCTTTACAAACCATTATCTCCCTACAAGGGAAAATGGCCAATTTGCCACTGTGCCATCAAGAGGCAAACAACAGAGGCCAACAACAGAGGCCAAGGAAGTCCTGATGATAACCTGGCCAAGAAAATACTGATGATAATTAGGGTGCAAGTTGTATTGTGTAAATAAAGGCTGTGTCAGCATCTTCCTGCAGGTTCTACAGGAGTAACAAAAGGTTGGCAGTTAAAAAGGAACCTTAGCAGATTATCATCAGCTGAATCACATATGTATTAGATGGATGGTTAGTATTTACTGGTAACATGTTAACTCTTTAAAAGTGAGGCACAGGGCTGAGATAGTAGGATCAGATGTTTTTCATGTATCTTGGTCTCATGTACAGTTTGACTAGGATCGGAAATGCAAGAGAAGACCATATCTATTCTTTTGGGTCATTTGTCTACTTGTTGCCCTATACTCCTCATATGATGGACAATGCAAAATCCCATAAAACAAGAAACTGAAGATGTTGGCAGCAATTCTTCCAGTCTTAGCTGAAGGTACACTGGGCCAGGAGGCATTTATAATTCTTTTAAGAGACAACATTTGGAGAGAAGGAAGACTTTTTAAATGGTAATGGATTGTGGAATTACTGCAACTGCTGCTATCATGGAGTTGTATAGCAGGATTTCCTGGCTCCTAGCCACAGAGATGAAGAGGGCCCATCACATATTTAAAAGTTCTTTTACTCTGTATCTGTCTATGTACATAAAGTATACTGGGACTGCACCTCCAATCTGCCTGTACAAAACATGTTTCTTACCTGGCTGAGGATCCGACCACATTTCTTTCCTATTTTTTCCACCAAATCAAAGACTGGGAAGTTCCAATAGTTTAGCTGATCCATAAGAGAGTCCAAGTTGTCCATGACAAGAGGCTCCGGGGCAAGGATGGGTTTGTCCTGCACCAAGAATGAGAAGACAGAATTCTTCTAGATCACAGACTTATGAAGAGTCAAACTAACAAGGTAAAGGTGCTGTAAATCTAGGGCCAAAATTAACCACGGGCATAAGCAGATGAAGTCTTATTGGTGACAACGGAGTTATGCTTATTTCCACCATACCTTAATTTAGCCTTTCTGCTTTATAATTTTTGTTAAACTGGAATTGATTGGGAATCCTGGAAATGAAAGATCAGTGTGTCCTTATCACAATTGCAGAGAGGTCATTCACCTTTATTTTTAAACTTGCACTAGGCAGAAGAAAATATATTGATTTGTTATTTCCATACTGTGGTCTGCTATAGACTAACAAAGGGATTCAGGCAATAAATTCCAAGCTAGTCTTACAGTGAAAAGGAATGGGTAAGTAACATTCAAATATAATTAGAACCCCTCCCCTATTCCACTCAGAGACACTGAAAAGAAACCTGTTTTGAAATCTGAAAGATATCTCCCTCTTCACATGCCTCTGATGCTCTCTTAGCTCTTGACTTTCAAGTAATGACCAAAAGTGGAAACAAAAAAGAGCCAAAATATCTCCAGTAAATCTCTCCTCCTGGTATATCCAACTTTGACAAGAAGCAGAGATTACCCCAAATTCTGTTCTCGTGAGAGTTGAGTCTAATTGCACAGATGAAGGGGCTTTAAAATTTTGACTAAACATTCAAACATTTGCCTGATTATTTGAACCAAACTTATTACAGTGGTCCCATGAAAACATCAGCATTTGCTAACAGTTTCAGAATACAGTGTATATGGCATAGGAGATACAAATGTGTTTCACTATATTTGTACAGGAAATAACTATAAACATTTGTCAAAGTTACTGCAAATTATAACTTTTTAAATGGTGACCGTTGCAAATGCTAACCAAGATTACAAAGTTTATTAGCCCATTAAAGTGTTTACATGGCTAATCAGGAAGACTGTACATACTGTATTGGTAGCATACACAAGATTATCTATATTCCTCACAAAGAACATTTTCACAAATGCATGCTTCAGTTTGGAATCCTGAATCCATATTTAAATGTCAAAATAGGTAGCTTAATTTTAAAAAATGCTAAGCACTCACAATTCCGATGGGTAGCTTAGTGCTTTTGAAAATCAGATGTCCTATTAAGATGCATACATGTGGACATGACACTAAGTTTTTGTGTCTTGAGTTTTACTTAAATATAGTATGAAAGCATTACTTAAAACAACTGTGAATTACCTCAGGTGGTATTAAAGGGTGCAATACGATAGTCTCCGGTGTATATGTTCTGCAGACAGATCCCTTCCGCATCTGTTCTTTAGAGCAATCTGTCTCATCATCATTTTGTACAATATCGCTGCTGTCACTATTGTTGGTTTCATAGTCAGAGGTGGCTTGAGCTGGATCATCTATAAAGCAAACCAGACTGTTTTGAGAACAGTAGGGACCACACTACAAAGCATTCTCTCTGACCTTCAGAGTAATGCCAACACAACCTCTGATTCATACACACATGTGCTGCTTGGCTAGGTCTGAAATCTGACAGTCTACTCAACTGCACTGAAGAAGGTACCCCCCTCTCAGACAGGGCTTAAAAACTGGGATCATAGCATGGAGAATGAATAAACTCTGATGGGCCAAATTACGTAACAGAGCGAGACCACATCTATTATATATTTTGAACCACCTAGAACTGAGTTAATGGAGACCTTTTTCAGATTCCTTATTATAAATACTTTGTGCAACACATGGTGTGTTTTTAACATACATACCATCTTTGCAGCATGGAATAAGAGCTGCCCCTGGATGAATATGACTCTCACTGAAGTTACTGAGAAGTGAAAATATCTACATCTTAAGGCTGAATTTAGCTTTGTGACTAGATATAAACATATAGCTATTCTGCTTCCTAGACCCAGAGCAAGAGTTACAATTGGTATAAATTACAAAGGCAAATGAAGCTGACAAAAAGACAACTGCTGATAGAGAAGTCTGCAATGGAAGAAAATATTAAAATGGTAGAAAGGAAATTTTTCTGGATAGAAAAAAAGCTATAGGGATTTCCCAAAGCCTATTTTATCTCAACTCTTGTAAAAATAAAAAGTGAGAGAATTAAATACTGTTGTGCTGCCTGTAGCCTTCAATGTTACCATGTACAATGACGTTATAAACACCCTAAACATCTATTCCAGGGTCAATTGTACTGAATCATTTATACTTCTAATTAGTGAATAAACATATACAACAAATGCTACATGGGTACCTAATATAAACAGGAAATCAACATACAGCTACCTGAGTCCTTTTTTTGCTTTTTTATTTTTTTGTTTAAACTTTTGCTATATTCATAGATTTCTAAGACAGAAGGGAGCCTTGTGATCTTTTAGTTTGACCTCTGTAATGCACAGGCCACAGAACTTTCCCCAAAGTGATTCCTAAAATAGATCTTGTATAAAAATAACCACTTTTGATTAAAAAATTGTCAGCAATAGTTATTCCAACAGTTACACTCTGGCAGAAACCGTGGCTCTTGTGTGTCTAGCTCCCAGGTGATCCACATACCCTACAAGTAAGCCAGGGATAGGGACAAGTATGTCTACATGGCCCACTCCTTTCAGCAGCTATCTATCTGCCCTCCTTGATGGGCATAAATAGCAGTGTAGACAATAAAGCACTGTTTTGGTGAGTGGAATAAAAGCATGCTTGAACCCTGGGCATATATACCTGGGTAAGTACTCTACATGACTCTACATGCCCATGTAGTTCCTCTCCTACCTACATTGCTACTTCAGGAGTGAAATGTTTCTGCAGAGGAGAAAGGCTCTGGCAGGTGCTACCTTTCTGCCAGAACCTTTCTGTGCCACAGTGAAAATCTGTGGTAGGGGGAAGCCCCCCTCCCAGTCTCTCCCCACTGCCTCCCTCCTTTCACTGACACATGCAGCTACACAATGCAGCACGGACAGAACTACTTTTCTCTGCAGCATGTAGCCTGTAGTGTGTAGTGAAGACATAGATGTAATGTGGCTTTAATGGAGCCAAACTGCCAGAGTCACCATGCCTTGAAAGGGATTTCTTGGCACAAACAGCAGTGTGGTAATCTGAATAGGGAGTAGGCTGCATTGACCCTATTGCAAGTTGCCCACAGAATTGGCAGGGCCAGGGATATGTCTCCATCCAATCTCTTTTCCATTGCAGGCCCCTACATTTGAGGATGCTGCTGAAGAAACAGTTGATGCCTTCAGACACTGACACCCACCCATTGCATAGAGTGTGTCTTCAGGAGTTGGTTTTGGCCTAGGTAAGTGTTACTGTTCCAAAGGAAAGAAAATATACATACACCTTGTGATCTCATCCATGTACAATCTCTGGATACAAAGAAACAAAAAAGAAACTCCCTCAACAACTACTACATTATAGAGGGACATCTCTTTTGATTTTACAACCACCAAATTACCTGTTCTGGTCAGGGCATGTGCTGTTCCATCACCTCTATCCAGTGCACCAGTGCCAGAACCTATTTGGTTATATGGTCTGCCACAGCTGGAACACAATACCAAAGAACATGAGCATTAAAGCATCAGGTACATTACTGAGGAAAAGTCATCTAGACTATTTCTTGATCCTTGCTGCTAATACAAGATTATGCCCTACCATCTAATCTGCAACTCTTTGTGCATTTAAAGGACAAATTCACAGGAATGCTCAGATTTTTTGTTGGGTGCTTGTATTGCAAAAGGCCATCATAAATGTGTCTTAACCAGCCAACTATGCTGGGTTTAGAAGCTGTTTGCCATTGCCAGAGTGATGCAAAGAGACGCATTTTGAATCAATCCCAGTATGATTTTTTTCATTATGTTTATTGTACAAAAGAGCAAATTGAAAATATAACACAATTACACTATGAAAAAAGAATAAAGAATGAACAAGGGGAAAATTCACCAGGATCCAGTCCAGTCTAAAGTGATTCAAGTAGACTATAGACACTTTTAGCAGATTTCCCCTCGCATCACATGCCTGCTTAGAAATACACACATCACCGTAAGTAATATAAAAGCGAGGCACTGCTGCTGGACTTTAGTGATACTATACTTGATTTGTTACTACTGGAGGGACACGCCAGGTAAATGGGGTGGTACTCAATTAAAAAGCCTGAGAGGAGGTGACAAAGAGCGTACTTACCAACTTCCAGGAAATGGAAAGATGCTTTAAAACGAAAACGACAAACACCTACCATGCATCACACACCAGGAACATCTTTTGAAATATTTGCCTCTAAAGGTATTGGTATGCACTGTAATTTTATTTTTGAAACATTGTTTGGGGATAGAGTTCTGAGCCCATTTGCCTAATGCAAAATCTATCTGGTTACCTATAAGGTTCTCATAACTGTAGTAGCAGCACAAACACCAATTAAGAGAGCCTGAAAGGCTCCCACATGATAGTAGCACGAGCCACATTTTTCAGACGGAGCTGAAGCACAAAGAGAAAGTAAGCGACATTCCCAAGATCACACAGGAACCTGGTGGTGGAGAAGCCAGGATATTGGTTCCTTAGCCACAAAAGCAATCTCACTCAATTTATGCTTCAATGAGGTACATTTTAATACATTAAAATAAATACTTTTATTAAAATGACTGTTAAAAGTACTGGATACAGAAAATACTTCTTCACAAACCCCTTCTTGTCCTATTTTTTGTTGCAAGCAGAACATTTATGTTTTAGCAGCCAAGAAGCAGAACTACATCTAGAGGCACATGTAGAACTATTCCAAACACAAAATGTCTTTAGGGTGTTTGTGGTTCTGTACTTCCAGGTTAACGCTACATAGGGTACATTGTGAGTGCAAGGTAGTGTTTTTTTGTTTTGTTTTTTTTTTTAACTAAAATGATTCCACTTTCAAAGGGCTAAATGGGAATTCAAAAAATATTTGGAATGCCTGGAGTTGCAAAATACAAACTATTTAGTTAGTGTTTAATTTGTAATAAAAGAGGTGCTAGAACTCAAGCAGTTAGGTGCCAGGGTTTTAGCAATTTTTTTCTTTCCTACCTCACAAGACAAAACCCAAGATGTAAGGGCCATGAACTCCCAAACTTAGAGGTGTCAAGGGTCAGCCATGGCACAAAATAAGCACTGAATGCAGGGATATCAAGTGAAAGCAGATTGAAAAGGAAGGCAAAAGTGAACACACAAGACAGTCTATAGGAAACTTGGAGCCTGATCCAAAGTCCTAGGAGGCAAAGAAACTTTTTTAATGATTGCAAAAGTGAGCATATTTTTATGACTTCAAAGGGACTTTGGATGAGGCCACTGGTGTCTCATACATTGGCAGAATTTTATAGCCTTGCTTACAAAACTAAAAGAGTGCAGTTCTAACATTGTGATTGGTTGTTTAACATGATTAAAAATTGCATAAAGAAGAAACATTTGTGCATGTTCTACTACACTGAAGAGGAACAGATTGAAATCCAAGTTTTGGTGTTGAGTAAGGGTAACCACAATAATTAGCAGTATGTTCTGGAGCTTGAGGTGCCCTCTGAAGAGAATTTGAAAAAGTAGAAGAAAACCTTTATAACAATTGTGCATATTTTATAAAACCATCATGTAAGAAGATGTAAACCACTGAGTTTGTAAATGAGCCCACACAGACAGGATTGTTACTGAGAATTTTGTTTTGTTAGTGCTTTGGTTCTGGATGTTACCACAATTTCAGTAATAAAAAGTCAAAATATAGCAAAAGACTGGAAAAGGCCTTCTGGTGTTTTGTGATGCACCAGACCTTCATGATGTTATGAAATAGTGTATGTATCACTGTATGTTGCGTGTATTTTTTCTCTCTCTCTCACTCACTCACTCACTCACTCACTCACTCACTGTCCCCCACGCCCAGAAATTCATTCCTATCTCCTCATCCTGTTACTTAGAAATCTGCAGTGTGAGGAGTGAAGCTTCACACTCCTTAGGTTCAGTGTTAAGGTTGTGTTCTGTGTAGTTATGTTTTTAATCATGTGATGATCAGCACAGTAACTGAGAATCCTGCAAATACTATGAGCCTGCCATGGATTTTTTTACCTTAAATGAGGAGCAATTTTAACTAAGTGAAAAAAATTGAAATTCTATGTATGTTATTGATTCTATCCCCATTTAAAAGTGCTTATCAAATTCACCCTGGATAAGGCCCAAATAATGAGGGCCACAAGACTGGACAATGTAGACAACATTAAATGACTTATTGATTTGTGATGCAACAGCATTTAGAAAAACTGGCTGAACAGTTAAATTGGCAGCTAACTTGCCACAATTCACTCAAGTGTAGATTATTAGCCAAGTGCTACAACTAGAGTTAAAACCAAGTGCTGAATGTTTGCCACTAATCTCCTGGGCCTGTAGCGCACTGGAGACAAGGAAAGTCTTTTTATTGATTTCATCTGAGTCTGGATCCCATCTCCAATGAGCAGCAGCCTTAAATTACCGGTCAATGTGTAAGAGCAGGGCAACTACATTTTTTATTTCCTTTTAATGTAGAATTATGTACTCTTCTCTTCATTGTTTTCAACGCATCTACCACAAACACATAGTATCCTACACTCTGAATATAAAGCCTTGTGAAAATGTATCACCATTACGGATGTAACCAATTCTCAAGGACATCCTCTTGTGGAATAACCCTGAGCTGTTTTTTGCATATTATATTTATGTTGGTAGTGGGCACATTGTTTATGTGCTGGGATGCAGCTTGTATCTGCAGAAGTGACATCTGTATGCCAATAACAAGTAAATTGCTATTTTTAGTGATGATTCTGCAACAGTGTTCACAGTGTATGCTGCTATATATTAGTAGTGTTCTAATGGAGCACATTTACGTTTGTGCTGACAACACTGAAATTTCTGGTAGTGGTGCTAGTTGATTTTAACTATTTATTTATTCTAAATCTACACTTTGTTTCAAAAACTAGGTAAGATTGGTAAATGTGGGCAATGTACTTACTTATCAAAACAACTATTCATAGCCTCAACTTTGAGTCTCCCTACCTGATTCCACACACAGCAAACTCCATCAACAGATAATAACTCATCATTTTTGAGAAATAAATGAATTCAACCACTGGGATTGAGATAGAATATCAACACTTTCTAGCATCTAATCCAACATTTAGGATGAAAGAGAGCCCTCGTGCAAAGTATTTTCTTCTCATTGACACCAGGTCACAAAGCCTAAACAGCTGACACCAAACCTGGCTACATGATGAGCTTGACTGTGTTCATGCCAATGTCCAACAGGGTTTATACACTTCACACCACAATACTGAACTTTCTCACTGTCTTACATTGGACACACACTGCTGAGTCCATTATTCAGGTTTCACTTCAAATGAGTCTTTTCTGAAGACATGAAACAATAGTACTTCCAGGGTCCAGCTACCCAAGTTTTGTTCTCACAACTGTGTTCTCTTAGAGCAACTAAGAGTAAAGTATGGCATTACTAAATTATTTTGTAATAACTGGCAGTAGCATCAGACTTCTTGCAATTGATTAAAAAAAATATTCACTACCAATGCTATTCTGTGCATGTATGTATCGACATCTTCGGAAGGATATAATCCTACATTAATGTAGACTTCAGTTTAATTATATACAGTAACTAGCACAATATACATGTATTGTGTAACATAGTAGAAACTTTGTATTTTGCAAATGCTAACAGCAAAGAGCTAGTGTGGCAGTAATACACTGGGCATAAAATGTATCTGGACCAGGGAAGAGGACGGACAGACAGTCCATTTGAATATCAAGTACAATAGTTTATCTGGAACTATTTTGAAAAACAAGTTTGAATATCAAGTACAATAGTTTGTCTGCCTCAGCAAAACTAACCAACAGTGGATCTTTGTACTTGTCTAATTCCTCTGTGCCTGACTGCCATTTCTGAAATAATGAGTATACTGAAAAACTGAAACATGACCCTGAAGTGTATGTTATTGTAACTAGAGTGTGGCATGAAAAACACGTCATTAACATGAACAGAGATACAGAAAATCAATCTATGATTTTTTTTGTAAATCAGTCGATATACTCAACAAAAGCAAAAGCTTTTAGTTGAAATTAATTGTTTTGAACTTTAAAAACACCACGTAGCATTGAACTAGATACACAGTGAACAACTTTACTATGGGGGAAAATCATATCAATATACTGTACTGAAATAAATCAAGAGAATGGTCCAGGGAAAAACAAGCAGGTGTGTATCAAATTAACATCTTACCTGCTGCAGATAACGGGGGGGCCCATAATCTGCTCCGAAAGGTCAGGTGCACTCTGCGTAGAAGTTAAAATCTTGTGTGGTTTCAGACTTTGTTTAGTGTCAGTGTCAGTAGAGTCTGGAAATTGCACAGAAAAGGTTTTCCCAGTGGGACTGGCGGCTGGGGTTCCCTGAATAGGTGAATGGCATGGGGAGGTGAGAGGTGAGATGTTTGGCGGGATACCTAGCAAGAGAAAACAGTTTCTTCAGTTCAAAAAAGGTCACTATGCAGCTATATCAATGAATTGTATGCAGACAGACTACTTTTGAAATGCACAAAACAATACAAAGAGTCTCCACAGAGAACCAGATCTAACACTAACATAAATGAGTAAAACTTCATTTATTTCAATGGAGCTATGCCAACTTCTATCAGCTTTACAGGTTTAGGGCATAGTCCCCTTTGATGACAACCTACAAGCAGTATACACAAACTAAAGAACATATAGTAGGAAAATAAGGGGAGGAAGCATGATCCAGAAGTTATGACACCAGATGGGGAGTCATGATATTTGGGTTCTAGTCCAGGTTCAGCTTCATTGTTTGATTTTGGGCAAACCACTTAATTTATAGATTTTCTATAAATTAGAAATTGAAACACAAAGAAAGAGAAAAAAATGCTTACTCAACTTGGTAATGAACCCAGTATTCTACATATGAGTAAGTGATAAACCAAAGAGTAATATTTAAAATATGGATAATAATGTATCCTTTCATCTTGAAGGATTCCACTACACAATATGCATGCTCAAGCATCACTGAGATACAGTCATCTCAGTTGTGACTCAGGGTACATCTATATAGCAGGGCAAAAGTTAAATTAAGATACACAACTTCAGCTACATCAATTGTGTAGCTGAAGTAGAAATCGCTTAATTTGGCTTTTGGCGCAGTCTACACAGCAGGAAGTTGAAGGAGGTACACTCCTCCTTCGACTTCCCTTCCTCCTCGTGAAATGCGGGTTACAGGAGTCGGGAGTAAGTAGTCCTCCATCTCGACATTATTTTGAAACAATGGCTTGCTGTGTAGACACGCACTATGTTATTTCGAAATAACATTTCCAAAATAATGCTGTGCTGTAGACGTACCCTCAGAGGGGACCGCAGCACCCAAACCTGTGCAAAGAAAGGGTGTGAGAATATACCGGACCTTTTTTGGCTCCCAATAACTGGCCCTAGAGTCCTCCTACACCCCACCTCAAGCAGCAGCAATGTGACTGGAAAGAGAGCAGTGAAGGTGGGTCCTCCAGGGCTGTCTCAAGAGGCTTTAAAGCAGCAGCTAATCAGAGCCCATCAGACTCAGATGAGAGAAGCTGCAGGGCCTTGTCAGGTCAATTCCTGGCTGATTTGCTTAAGTTGGGTTTGCAGGGAGGGAGAAGATGAATGTGAATGTTAACCTTGAAATAAGGTTGACACTAAAAGGGGTCAGACAGGAAAGGCCCATGGAAGTAGCTGCAACGAACTGGAATTTACAAGTATAAAGCTTCTATTTAGGGTCCCTGGTGTGGACCTGGAGAGCAGGTGGACTTAGGTTTCTCAACCTGCCATAGGGAGAGTGGTATATACCCTGGAAGGTGCTTTGTGCTTTGTGATTTGGCTGGAGGACCAAGGCACTCAAGATCCACCATGGTTGGCCAGCAGCCTGCATGGGTGCCAGAATGAAGACAAAAACTACAATACCACATCTAGTCTCCCATTACAAAGGGGCAAGTCGACATTCTGAGCCAAGTCCATTGGGAGAAATCCCTACACTTCATGATCCACCCATAGCAGAAAAGCCCATAAAGCCACATACCAAAAGAGACACACAAAAGGTTGCTAACTTTCTGATTACCCAAAACAGAATATCCTTACCCTGACCACTTTCGTCCACTCACTCCATTCCCCGCTTCCTCATCTCTTGCTCTCCCCTACCCTTGTGCATTTTCACCTGGCTGGGGGAAGGGGTTGGTGTGAGAGGGAGAGCTCCAGCTGGGGATGCAGGCTCAGCGGGGGGAGGGGAGCTGTGAGTTTGGGCTGCAGGAAAGGGCTCTGGGCTGGGGCAGGAGATTGGGTTGGGGTGCAGGTGGGTGTGGGCTTTGGGTGATGCTTACCTCAGACAACTCCCGGAAGCAGCTGGCATGTCTGGCTCCTAGGTGGAGGAGTCAGGGTGATTGGTCTGCCACCCTGTCCACAAACATCTCCCCTCCCCCCAGGTCCCACTGGCTGCAATTCCCTTCCAATGGGAGCTGCAGAGCTGGCAGTTGGGGCAGGGACAGTGTGGGGAGCTCCCTGGCCATCTCCCAGCTGGAGGAACATCTTGCCACTTCTGTGAGCCACATGGAGTCAGGTATGGATGGGAGCCTGCCTGTCTCATTACTCCTCTGACTGGATTTTTAAAGGCTGGGTCAGCAGTGCTGACCAGAACCACTAGGGTCTCTCTTTGACTGAACATTCTGGTCAGAAACCAACCCCCTGGATAAATGCACATACTTCAGAAGGATGAAAGACTCAACCAACCTGCCAGGAATTTGTACCTGATCTACTAAGCCATGTTTCTCACACCCAGTTTATTTTTAGGGCCCATAAAAATGTTATTTTTAATTGTTTAAAGTTTTGTATTGTGACAAATACCTAAATGTATTTTTGGTAAAACAGTCATCTCTGACTAAGACAATAATGCTGATTTAAGACTACGAAGCATTAACCATAATAGTAAATACGTTTAATATTTCGGTCTTTCTAGGAAATCACATGTCCTCAGCATAACTTTTTGATCTCCCCCTATCACTTTAAAGGAGCAAAATGAGAAACCTTATTTAATGGTGACCATTCAAAAGTCAAAATGTGTTGACAGTTATCACACAGTAATATTAAAGATCGCACCATTTTTCTCTGTACCTTGAACAGAGAATGACTGTGGTGGGTGAGTGATATAGTAGGTTGGCAGAAGTTAGCTGCACAATTGCAACCACCATATCAATTTTGAAGAGACATCTGCATAGGAAAGTTTTGGAGAAAGCAGCCCAATAATATTCTGCAATCTGTAGGTCACGAGCATCTCCTGAACGTAACTGGATCACAAAACAACTTTCCTTAAAGTACTGAGCAGTCACACCCGAGCGGATACAATTTTCCTCCCTCTTCCCTCAACATTTTGCATTGTTTTCACAGTCAAATTAGATTTAGGAAATAACAAAACTCATCTCCTGCATCAATCTCCTTCACTTTCTCCAACAGTGAAATTGGAGCTGGTGAAAGACACTAGGTTTGGCAGCACTGACCACCCAAGTTCTCCTTAGCACCCATTCACTGAACAGACAGAAGTGGTAAGCTGCCCCCTATTATCCCACTAACATGCCTTAATCCTGCTTTGAAAGGAGAAATTTAGGGAGTGAGAGGCCTGTTCAATCTCCATGACCATCGAAATCATTGGCTTCTCTGCAGAGATACAAGGATTAGCCTGGGATTTGAAATTTACTACATGCAAGCTAATTAAAAGCTTTCTGATGGTAACGAAATTTTAGTAAGTTAGAAGGGGGAAAGCTCTGTTTTGGTTTACCAGTTCTCAAAGCTGTCCCATTCACACCAAACTAGCTTATCATATTTTAAATGTTTGACAGTCACTTATTTGTCCAGATTCTGTCTGTCACCTGTTATTCTTTGTCACTCCTGGAGAAAAGAGTGCATGAAGACATCTTTCATCAGTTCAAAGCCAATCTGATAAATTGAAGTACTAGCTTTTGTGGTAATGAATGTGTATCTAATTACAGTCACCTCTCTCACTCCTGCTTATGAGCAGGCATCGGACAAAGGTCTGTCTTATGAAAACATGAATACATAAGCGTGAGGACAGGTACCAAAAAATTTGGAGGGTAAATATTAACTTCCTTAGAGTAATCTAATGCTTAATTCTTTATTTCCAAGACTACGAGCAAATATGTTTAACACCACTTGCGACTTTGAACAATCAAAGGAAGAGAAGATAAACAAAGTGGTGGAAAAATAAATGTAAGTATATCCATCTGTTTAGGGTCTCAAGAGATCTTTCAGATTAGTGTAGTCATGTAAGTAGTAAAGCACTGACACTGATATGGCATGAAACAACACATGAAAACACTTGTGGTTGCACCTTAGACTTGCCAAAATAGAAGCATTGGTACACATGGATTTTCAAATAATAAATAATGTCATTTAAAAGGGCATGTTTTAAAGTCAATGTGTGAGAGAAAAACATACACTAGTCTCAAGTGAGGATTACTGTATATTGCTAAGGAATCTAATATGTAAGCATCTGGTTGGTAATAATCGTAAGGAAAGATTCTTTACATGGAAATGCTGAAAAACATTTGCAATAATTAAGAGATTCACTATATTCAAAGTCCCTAGAATACCAAGAGATCAAGATTCAATATGGATCGTTATGTTGAAATGAAATTTTTACATGACCGAATCAAGTCTCTTAGAATTGCTAAGGATGGAAGGGACCTCATATGTTCTCGGCCATTCTTGTCCGTTGACGCAGGTAATAGTGAGTTTCTTGGAAGAAAAACAGATGTAAATTTAACATTGCTTGATGGGGCTGACATAAAAGGCTTGATGTGCACAGAGGTTAAACACCCATACAACCTCTCTTCAAGTCTGGAGGATCTGTGAAAGCCCATCCCCCTACACTTCCATGAAGCAGCAATTCCTCGAGACTGTATAGTGGCAGCCCTACTAGGGGGTCAGGATTGGAGATTCTGCTCTTTGCCAACTGGGGGGTGGGGGAGAAGTATCAGCAGCTAGGTTAGCTGACAAACATGCTGGGCCACTGGGCAATTTGGGAAGGGTCCGGCTCAGTGCTCCTGTAAGAGGGGGGCCTCAGGAGAAAGGGAGTGAGGCTGGGCAGTGAATGCACCATATATGCCTCCCCTTTAGCCCTCAGCACCACCTGGAGTTCATGCTCCCTCCTCCAAGCCCTTAGAATTGACCAGAACACATGGTGTGTCACTATGGCAGCAATTTAAAGGACCCAGGACTTCGGGTGTTGCTGCAGTAGTGTCAGCAGCCCCTGGCCCTTGAGAATCACCAGGTCGCAAGGCAGTTGCCCCATTGCCTACCCCATTGGTGGACCTCGCAGCAGTGCACAATTTTTTCTAGCACATACGGTTGACAATGATCTAATAAACATGCAGATGTATTTTCAAAATGGTGTCTAATTTTGGATTCCTTGAGGCCAAACATAAGGCCAGGAAGAGAGGTCCCATGGCCCTCCCTTTGATTGGTGGATTTTCACCACTTCTAAAAAACAGGCCGCAAGTTGTTTCAAACTGGGAACCAAAACCAATGGCTGCTTTTGAAAATTTCAGTCCCTATTTGGTGATTCCAGCAAGGGAAGCCACTGTACCCATATTTGTTTGGTGTTTAAGAACATGAGGTAACATTCTTTTGGTCTCCAGGGAAGTAAAAAAAACACCACAATTATTTTTTTTTAAAGCGTTCTGTTGTAAATGTTATTATCACTTAAGTTATCTTCTCTACTTTTTTCAGGCTAAAACATTATCTGACATTCCTTTGAAGTCTCCTTGTACTGAGTGAAGATATTATGTAACCGATATCATTTGTGTCTACAATGTTAGGATAAAAAATAGGTTTTTTAAAAGAACCTTTTGAAAGTAGTTGGATAATTTTATTCATTGGTTACTGTTAACTTTTTTTTTAAAAAAAGCCTTGTTCTAAGAACCATGCTTCACAAATTGGCAGATGTGCATTTGATTTGATCTGATCATCAATAAAGACCCGTGAGACTTTTTCCATGATGGACAGAAAGGCATATAGGTTAAAATGTTCTTGTCATTTGGATATAATTGTATGATAAGGACAATTAGCTGTCTATGCCTATCTCCCACAAAGTCAAATTCCACAATCTATTATACCCAGACAGCATTAACGGAGACAATGGAAAATACAGAGTCAGTCAGTTTAATGAGTATGTTATGAGACACAATTGGTCTTCAACCCTACTGGAGTCAATGGGATTGCCTAGAGGAAACCAAAGGCAGAATTTAGCATATAGATCACTGAAGTAATAAATCTAACAACTTTTATCATGTAAAGGTCAATACACAACACCACCACTTGCAATGCTGTAGTGGTTTAGATTACTGTGTTTTTAAATTATGGAAATAACTGAAGTCTTATGTAGGGCAATGAGAGAGGGGCGAAAGAATAGGCAGAAAGAAAAAGATGCAGTGTAGGCAAGCTTGCCTACATAAAATGAACATCAACCTAGAAATAGCTGTTCACCTTGTCGGCTTTGCCTTTTGGAATTAAGATGGTTTGTTGCAGACATCGCATAGGAGGCTGAGAAGGACCTGCTTTTTGTGATTGCCATCAGAAGTGAGCTGTTCCAAGGGTCGGTGCTGTAAGATCAAGAGTACAAACACATATAACTATTATTACATAAGCATTGTTGCTGGAAAAGGTCTTGGTGACAGAGTTCTGAGAGAAGTTAATTGTCACAACAGTCCACACAGGAGTCTGAGTGAGAAACAAAACTCTCTACTATGAAGGGCTGTATTGTCAACTGTTTATTATTTTTAGTGAATTCAATATTGCCAAAAGGAGCTGGATTAACAACTTCAATAATTTAAGCCCTTGATTGAAACCAAACACAATTACAACATGGAATACTATAAGATTCTTCCAAGATGGCTTTCCAATATCCCTAAACCATGTTTGGTGTGGAGACCGCAGTGCCAAGGCCCATTCACTTAATTTATACTTAAATTCCTTTATGCTGTGCTGGCAGTGTGGAAACAGACAAATTATATTGGTACCACTAACTTACGTACTTAGAGCAGTGCAAAAGGGCCTTGATGTCCATAAAAATCAGGCCCATTGGATTGCCAACAAGGGTGCCATTTATTGCAATCTGTAGAGATGTGTGCGCAGGATTCTGGAATCCATGCAGTGTTCTGGACAAAGCTATGCATAGGCTACCACCTGCTCAGAAGGTGGCGTGGGGCACAACTGCCACAGAATGATTCCATTGCTTCGTTGTGGTTTTGGGGACAATGAAATGAGACATGTTCCTTTCCTTCTCCCTATAGCCTCACCTTGCCAAACACAGATAAAGTGAGGGGGAAAATAACAAGCCATTAAAAGCAGATTTTTTTCCCCTAGCCAAAGACCTTTTTCTTGACAGTGTTTTACGGATGCAAAATGCCCCAATATGTATCTGTTTTGCTAGTCATACAGGCCTCGTTTTCCTCCCCTGGCGTATGAATTACTTCTGCTCCTCTATTGCGAGAGCTACAAACAGTAGGCTGGGAGGCTTGACAAAGCTATCATTATGCAATTGATGACATTAAACTTTGGAAGAATTGATAGCCTGTTTAGTTGGCTCATCCTGAGGAGTTATATAACAGTAGAAAAACACCAACTGCAATATTTAATTGCTCCTCTCCCCCTCACTTTAGAGTCCCTTCTTAGGAAGCTTACATATTATGTGAGAGTCTGGATTCAACAATATAAATCAAGAAAACCTTCTGAATGAAAATGATTTCCACATAATGCCATTTTTTTTTTGTATTTCAATTTACTGGGACACTTGGTTTCTAAGATACACTGCCGCCCCCAGAGATGTTAAGGACACTTCTATGGCTGGTTCCAGGGCTAAAAAACATGATCTTCCCCTTCCAGCTTTTACCACACAGCCAGAGCCTTGGCCTTAGTAATTATTATATCTGCAGCTGGGATTCTTAAGGTATCCCCCTAGAGGCAGCCTCCTCCAATGAAACTTCAGGCATTTTTAAATATGGGCCTCACAATTTCCACCCCCATGAAATACTTGCTAAGATCCTGCTCCTGTAGCAGCAAATGGAAAGGAAGACCTTTATTGGATAAGCCTATTAATAAGAGGAGACAAAAAGGACTCAGAGAATTTGGAAATGTCACATATTGATGGCACAAGGAAGCTTGGGAACCGTAACACATACAGGAACAGAAAGTTTAGCTATCTATTTTGTTTCTATCCCAGAACTATAAACTTTGTAATAAGAATTTGCCAGTTCCCACATAAAATTGTATCATTCACCAGGGTGAACAACACTCCCTGGGAACCCTGAAAACCAGCCTGGATACAATACTAGAAAACATTCTTTGAGGAATAGTTCTACACAGCTCCGCCCCCACCTGTGTCTCTGGTTTCAAATTCTATCATGCCTGCTTCATGTTCAGTCAATTTCTCCTTAATTCCTGCCTTTGGCCTTGCCTACACTAACTCCCACTCTCAATGTAATCACGTGACTTCCGCTACACAAATAGCTGCGTAGCTCAAGTCAACGTACTTACTGCAACATCTTCTCTGTAGTAAGACTGGCGGGGCTGCTCTCCTGTTGACTTTTCCCATCCTGGTGGATTACCAGGAAAGCAATTGGAGACAGATTTATTGTGTCCAAAGAGACGCGATAAATCAATGGCTGGTGGATCAATTGCGGTAGTGTTGATCTACTGTGTAGTGGAGATCAGCCCTGTGTGTCATAATTCTTCTGCTATACTTTTTTACTGTATGGAACATGCTTTCAACACTCATTGTCCTCTTTCAACTCCATTTTCTGGCCTTGCCTACCAAGATTATGCTCCTCTGTAGTGGTGTCGGCTTATGCTTTTGCAACTGACCTTTTATTGTTTACATTACCTTTGAATGATTGAGCTTGAATGCTCATCAAGCCAGAGGCCTTATTTGCTTTTATGTCTGAACTGCCCCTTGGACACTTGTGATGTCCTTAAAATAATATTATTAATGGAATCTCTAAAATACATCCTGAAATGTCTTGTTCTTATAGTCAGATGCCTGAAATTGTACATTTCATTTACAAATATTTATAATCAATCATGAGAACTATCTGCTTAGAAAATACTGAGAAAAGAGTATAAGAAATAGGAAAAGAATTGGTAAAGACTTTTAATTGACTTTTTTATATAACCATTATAAGTTCTTGTTTTGCAACTTTCAACTTTCTGGCTTCTAAACCCTGCTGAATTTGTGTTTGTATTAATTTGGCCTAATATAAAGGCTTCAAATTTTTAACTACCCCCCTCCACATAAGCCCTAGAATGAGAATCCTTTCAAATCTCTGACTTACAGTTTCTCAAGAAAAAGACATTATTACCCACCTACACACCCTCAGAAAAACCAAAGAAATTTTCCTGAAGATACTAAGAGAGGATATTTTTCTTACCTGGATGAAGAAGATTCATGAGGTTTGATGCTGCCACTGCGGTCTCTTCTCATGGGTGCAGGTTCCAAGGTAGGTAAACCTGTGGCAGATGTTGTTGTGGTCCAAGTTGATGACACTCGCCTGAGTAGCCCTGGAGGCAGACTCTTTCGTAGGCGCTAGAACAAATAATGCTTTGCTATTATATATACACACCACTCTTCCTCAGAGATCTCACATATCTATTCATTAATTGAGCTGGGCACACCTTATAAGGTGGTTAAAGTGCCATAAGTCCTGTTGTACAGAGGGGGAAATTGAAGCAGAGAGGTCAAGGGATTGATTGTCAGAAGTGTTCAGCACTCAGATCTCTTATTGAAGTCACCATCAATGGGCTCAGCACCTTTGAAAAACAAGCCGTGAGTGACTTGACTAAAGTCACACTAGCAAATTGGAAATAGCAGCCACACGCATTCTGGTATAATAGATAGGAAGCAGGAAAGGAAGCAAAACCAACAAAACAACCTCACTTCTACACCCTGCTCTTCCCTCAAAAAAAGCCCATCAGTTTTCTCTGCTTTATCCAGCCAAACTGAAGATGATCCATGAAAAATCAAATATTTAAATGGTTGAAGTTATATTTTCCACAATGCTTTTTCAAAAAATATATATATTACCAGTAAAAATCTTTTGTGGTAGGACAGAAGGGTGGGGAGAAATGATAGCAAATTGCTTGCAGCAGCATTTTTCTGACTTATCTGTTTTGTATGTTCCCTACATCACTAACTGATCTCTGTTAATGGGGCTTTTCATAGGTGTCTGGTGAGGAAGCAAGTTGATGGAATGGGTGGAATTTATTAGGGGGTACTGTTATTTTGGGGAACAGTTTCATTGCTGATATACAAGTGGTCCAATTATGCTTCAGATATTGAATGTTTATATTATTTGTTGGCTTTTAATTATTGTGAAGAATTTTCAGTTTGAGAAGTACTAAAGATTAAATATATACACATTTATAAGGCCCTACAATAGATGCCATTGGCTTGTTTATCATCGAGTCAACAGATTCAGGCCGTCTGAGGCAAAATGGATGATAAATTTCAGTCCAAATGATTAAAGATTTGCTCAGTTATAAGAAACTGAAATCAGGGTCTTAAAATGGAAAGTGTTAGGCAACCTTAATAATAAACACAGCTTCTAGCTGTATAGGTTGTTTTTTTCAAAACTATTTAAATGATAGTTTGTATCTAACATATCTTGCTACAGAGCTCCCCCCAAGAAACTCAACACTTGCCGATCAGCAGAGATTACTTAATATCTACTATTCTATGCATATAGAAATATTGCCATTACTGCAGTCAGTGGGGTCAATGTATACTGAGTTTTCAATATGTGCTATTACATTATATAAAGTATATAGAGCAAGTGCTCAGTGAAACTGTAATTTTCTTCAGTTAAAGTTAAAGAGGCATTTAAAAAATCCCATAAAATATAAAAATTGATGATCAGTTGCCTTCATAACTGTAGGCAGCAAAAATTATTTTTACAAGAGAAGAACAAAACAAAACAGATTTTTTTTACTTAGTTCCCAAACTAAAATATAAGCTTTGCAGAAATATACAGAAACCAATAATTAATAGCACTGGTGAGTTCTCTATGGGTATGTCTACACTGCATCTGAGAATGAGCCTCCCAGCCTAGGTACACAAGCATGTGCTAGTTTTGCTCACGGTAATGTAGGAAAAAAAGCAGTGTAGATGTTGTGGCTAAGGTAGCAGCAGCATAGGCTAGTTGCCAAAGTACAAGCCCCAAATGATCCCCTGAGACCAGACTCAGTGGCTATCCAGGCTGCAAGATCCACAGTACTGGCTCTATCTACCCAGGCTGGAAGGCCTAATTCTAGATGTGGTGTAGACATGGCCCATGTGTTAATACCTTGTCTTCTGATACACAGCTCTGTCAGAGCAAAATAGTTCTTACTAAATCTCTTTTCATTTACAGCAATGGATCTTTCTTGAGCAAATGTTGTCCACTATGTGAAATTCTGTGGTGGCTTTTTCAAGTAGAGAGTGGTTATCTGAGGCATAAAACTAAAAGCACATGGAGATCAATGAAGAGACACTCATCAACTTCCATTGGTTTTGGATCGGGTACTAAGGAAAGAATGTCAAACTTGTTTCACCTGTAACTCTAATTAAGATATGAACTCTGATCTTGAGAACTGAAGAGTGCACTGATATCACCATTTCATTCCCTACTGCATAACAACAACCAACACCCAGTGGTTAAAGTTGAAATGAGAAAGGGAATTATCAACAATGAAGTAAAAAGAGAAAGCAGAGATGAGTTTCCCCAAGGTAGAGAGATTAGGGCCAGATCTACACTAAAGGGGAAGGTCAAATTAAGATACACAACTCCAACTATGTTAATTACGTAGCTGCCGTTGGTGTACCTTAATTTGAGTTTCCACACAGTCTCCAAAGCAGGAGGTTGATGGAGCAAACACTCCCATCGGCTTACCTTATTCCTTGTGAGGAACTGGAGTACAGGCACTGATGAGGATGCCCTCTGAGTTTGATTTGGTGGGTCTTTACTAGACCCACCAAATCAAACTCTGGAAGATCCATCGCGGCAGTGACTATCTTCCCCTAACGAAGACAAGACCCTAAGCTCCACAATACTTGGAATAGTATAAAGAGCACTGTTCTCTTGTCACTCCCCCTTAATCAGTGTTTGAAGGAGTTTAGAGTAAGAAACAGGAATAGCAAGTATGTAAATCATCCTGTGATGAATGCCCATTTCTAAAGTTGCATGAAGGATCCAGATTGAATTCTGAGTGCTGAAGGAATAGGAACCATTTTTTCAGAACACGTTTCATTTTGCTTCTTATAGAAGTCAATGATTAATGCTTCAGAAAATGAGGAAGAAAGCTCCATTAACACACCCAACCATGCTATACTATACCAAAAGCCAGAGTTGGGTGAATCAAATTTTAGTATTGGTTGAACCTCTCTAAGCCAGTGCCCTCAGGACCTGGACTAGTCCTGAAACAGAGAATTCATTGAACTACCGGAGGTCAATATTGTCTAGCAGAATTACCAATGCTTTCATAGCTTACTGGACTCTCAGAAGACATTTGGGGTAAAATAGAGCTAAATAACATCACAGAACACTGCGAGCCAGGACTGGTGGCTGTAAACAAACTTTATGGGACCATGGGAAACTTGACCACACCCTTGATAAGTGCACATCCGGCCAACTAAGATCATGCTGGATCACTGATGTTGACAGACCAGAGTGTGCCGGACTAGAGAGGTTCAACTTGTAGATAGAACAAATTCGCTGTGATAGCCAACATATAAACGAGCACATACCTTGGGAACAGCCAGCTTTTCTCCTTTTTCTGGACATTCCTCTGAGTCAGAGCAGGTGTAGTTCTCATTGAAGGATACCAAAGGGTTAACCCTTGGCTTATGAATAGCCTGGAAGGTTAACTGTGTATTCAACAGGTTGCTCACTGCTCTCAGGGAAGTGCACACATTAGGTGGCAATGAAGGATCTGCAAGGAGGTCTGTAATGAGCCCATGGGCTTCTCCCATAACAGCGATATCAACTGTAATACTGGTACCTGAAGACTGAAAAAGAAAATAAAAAAGAACTTGTAAGGCTATGGGTATGTCACAGATGTGAAATTAAAGCACACGTCAAACCCAATATCTTTTCAGGGACAGTTACCATTGTCTTTTATTCAAATTGATATTTATAGCTAGGAAAAGCTTAAAAAATTAGCCACTTAAAACAACAAGATTTATTCTGAACATTCTGACCAGATCCACCCTTAGGTTGGCGTCTTTCTCTGAGAACAAGTTTGCAGATTTACTGAATTCAGTTTATTTAGATATTTAAAACAATCAAGCAGAGACAGGAAATTTGAGACCAGTCAGAAAACAGATGATGATGATGACAACCACAAAAAGTCTCTGCCAAGTAGGAATGCTCTGGGCAACAATGTTGAAATTTGAATATTGACATCAAGATTTGAAGCCATTCTAAATGATACGCTCTAGTTGAGCTACGAGTTATTGAGCACCATACAGGAATTCCAGAATGTGATTGTACACAGGATGTCAGACTAGATGATCATAACAGCCTTGACAGTCTAATTAGTTCATGAAATAATACTGGGAACGTAATTAAAAAAAGAAAAAATGATTAAATACAACTAGTGCTATAAGTACCATAACTGCAATATACGTGTTATATATATAGACATACACAGTAATGATCTATAATGTGCAATAGCAGCTAATGGTCTAGCCTTAAAGAAAAGATTAAGGAACTGTAATGTCTAATGGAATAAATTATATGAATAAAAACTAGTCTAAAATTAAGGTGCAGAATAGACAGGAACTGAGGTAGAAAGTGGGTCTTCCATCCCTTCTAAATTATTGACAAAGCAGTGGCATTTCTAGGTCAAAAGTTTAGTGATTTATATTGCTTCCACTATAACTCCACATGGGATCATCAATTAAAGGCACTCTTGAAAGTGATTGCTTGGTTGTTACTGCTTCGGAGAGCCCTCCTGGGCACAGATGCAATGTACATGCCCAGAGGCACTGGGACAAATGCTCCCCACAGCCAACCATGCAAGATCTGTTTTGTCAACCTATTATATATAAAGGATGCACAACTGAGATAACCCCTCCCCCCCTCCATTTTACTCTCATAGATGTTCAGATGTTAGCAGGCTAATACTCCCAAGAGTTAGAATTGCCACTGTGAGAGAGCATAATATTTTTCCGCGTGGGCACATTGATAGATTGGAGAACCAAGCATTCTCTAAAAATGGGAGAAGGGTTATAATACAAGAGGAAGAATCACCAGTCACCATTGCATTTTTTGAACTAACAATACATTAAAACAGTGGATCCTTAGTAATTCTTTGAAATTCTTCAGGATCACAAAACCCTTTGCAAAATTACTGACATAAAAACTTCTGAGAAAGGTGGTACTGTCTGAATTTTACATGCTGGCAAACTAAGACACAGAGAGGGGGAGAGAGAGAGATATTTGGCCAAGGCTACAATAGTGATTCTGTTGCATAGCCAGGAGTAAAACTCCAATCTTCCAACACTCAGTGCCGTACTTGAGTCACAAGACCACCCATGCTTATGTACTTCCTACTGCATGTCTTACTGAACATGGGAGGTGACTTACTTTGCGAACAGAAATGCTATCAAATCCCAGTAAGACAATGACAGGCTGATAGAATAAAGCGATTCCTTAAATTTTCTTTTACAGTCCCCTTATCCACAGCTAGTACAGGGATCTCACACCAACATCCTTTCAATCCACACCTAGCCATGTTACATTGACCAGAATCCCTCAGGACGCATTGCTAACGTCATCCACAACAATCCCACTCCCCATATATGCGCTTGTGACAAACACAGCAAGGTAGGGAGAGGACAGGAAGGTATCTGCTCACTTGTGCTGCCTTTCTTGAGAAGGGACTAGAGCCCAGTGGGTTGGTATAAGGAGTTCTGATCTTCCCCTTTCTTGCAGCAGAGTGTATTTAAAAGGCCCCTTCACCACTCACCCCACACTACACCTGCCAAAAGAGAACCCAATGGCCAAGTGGCAAACAGACTCTTAGGGACCGATGGCAGCATCCCAAACCAATAAAGGTGCACAGAGATACCAGCTGCTGGCGCTGATCCCTCCCTAGGTACAGAGGACTTTTTAGTGCATCAGAGTCAAGGTTTCAGTCATTACCTACCAGATCTCCTCTCAACCAACAGGGGGCTTTTTCCTCCAAGATTAAAGGCAAACCTTGAGCTGTAAGCCTATGTCTCAGCTGGGTTTGCAGTGACCATAACTGGCAGATGCTAAATAAAAGCACCAACTTTTAATTTAAAGGCAGGGTTTGGGTGAAAGGAATAACTTATCTTTCCTTATCTCAGCCCACCAAAACAGGCCAAAAGAAAAAATTCAGAGATGTAAAAAGTGCTACAGAAGAGGAAATAAAATTAGGTCTTACATATTCAGCAAAACAGCACCATTTACAGTTTGAAATCCTATTAGACCAAGAGTCTGACACTGGTGACCTGCTTATCCGAGTGAGAGATGAGGAAATACGTCAATTCTTCAATGGAGGAAATGGGCCTGA